CTCGAATTCAACTAGACCTAAATAAGCACAGGCATAAACTTATACGCAAGAAGCTGAATAATCAGCTTGCATTCACAGCGGAATTACAGAAATTCATAGCTTCACTTCAGAATAGATTCGCGGTTCTAAACGAGGTAACATACGTTAGCGTTGACACAATAAACGATAATCTAACTAGTACAACCAAAGAGTATAAGGGAAGTCGGAGGTGCAGTCACTTGACAGGACACTGGCAAATTATCGTAGGAGACAAAAAAATTTCATGAAGAGACGACAAACCATAAAAGCATCAAATGCAACAGGAAATATAGAGCTAGCAGAGCTTTCGAAGTTAATCATTAGGCGTAAGGTAGCCGACATCAGAAGGTATAACTGGTAGAGAATTGAGCAGGCTGTAAAAAGTGGCAAAAGGCTAAAAGCTGTGAAGGCAAACTTCTGCACAGGCAAAAATCGGTCATATGCATTAAGGAAAAAGGAAGGCATTGTCATAACCAATATCTATAGTCGAAGTGGCGGAAGAGTTCTGCAGAAAGCTGTACAGAAGCCAAAACAACATCATGAGGATAGCGTTAGAAACAATATTAGTCCAGATAAATTTGACATCCTACCAGTAACGACAGGCGAAGTAATGAAATAATCTCTAGAAGGAATGCGAAGAGGCAAAGCTGCTGGTGAGGATAGCATAACAATAGACGTGCTGAAAGATGGCGGAAAGATAGTGTTAGAAAAAGTGGCCACTTTATATACGAAGTGTATTACTTTAGCGCAGCTCAGTTAGAGCGTGAAGAAAAGATGCTATACGATCAAGAAAGGGAAAAAAATTGATTGATTGATTTGTGGGTTTTAACGTCCCAAAACCCCTATATGATTATGAGAGACGCCGTAGTGGAGGGCTCCGGAAATTTTGACCACCTGGGGTTCTTTAACGTGCACCCAAATCTGAGCACACGGGCCTACAACATTTCCGCCTCCATCGGAAATGCAGCCGCCGCAGCTGGGATTCGATCCCACGACGTGCGGGTCAGAAGCCGAGTACCTTAGCCACTAGACCACGCTAGAGATAACAGATAAATACAAATATCTGGGAGTATGAATAAGCAATGGGACCGAGTACCTAAGGGAACACGAAATATACGTGACGACTAAAGGTAAC